GTAGGGAAAAATAGAATTGACACAAAGATAGAAATAACTGGAACGTTTATTTGTCCTGAATAATACAATTATGCGACGAGGAAGGACAACCAACGACTGACTCGACCAGAACGGTCGTGTCGGGACAGAAGCCGAAAATCAAAAGAAAAATGCATCGCCTCTTTCACACTTGGCACTCACTCGCCGACATATGCACACACACACACATACACATGTCGTTGCCTTCCAACAAATAATACAACCCTAAATTAGATTTTTATTACAGATAGGTAGTCTAAATGTTGTCATTGAAGTCTTCCCCTCGTGGTATCGCGAGTAGCAATTGGCTACAGTCAGTGGTATCGGGGATTAGAGGGAGTTCAAAATTATCAGAAGTATCGAATAGTATACGATATACTCTAAGATATTCTAGATCTACTCGTTGATCGACGAAAATTTGAAAAAATTAACGAAACAAACAAACAACGCCACGTTTCTGTATTTTCCTCGTACTGTTTCTTCAGTCGCGAAATTTTGCTTGGCTTGCAGCGTTAACTCGGGGAGCATGGGAAACGGGAACGCGATATAAAAGTGCGTGTAACACGGGAAAAAGAGGATTTGCCGCGGTAAATTAACGCAGAGCGAGGTCGGAACGAGCGCGAGCGCGGATTCGAGGAACTTGGTTGAACCGTGGACTCATCCTGTCAGCTGGTATTTCGTTATTATCCGCGTAAAAGTTAATATCCGGGGTACGCGTGTATGTAAAAACTTGCCTGCCTCGGAAGTTAATATACTTTTAATTTTTATTTTCGCACGTAGCCAGTCGCTGGAACGTCGACGCCGACGTCGAGGCAGAGGACGAGGACGAAGACGAGGACGAGACACGCGTTGCGAAGCGGTGCGCGCTCGTCAGCGGCGTAGAACTTTAAATTCTCGTGCCGCCTCGCTTAATCCGCGGCTTAAAGAGCTTAACCCCACGAATATCTCGTCAGAGCTTCCCCCAGACCGACGACGTCGGTCCGCGGTGCCAGAGAGCAGGTTTATTAGCGCACGGATTTCGGAATTCTTTTCATCCCCGGCTGGGACACGAAGCCTCCCACGCCGTTTACATAAGCGAGTTCTCCGGATTGCCTTTTTGATATGTAGATAAGGGGTGGTGCCGCTTTTACGCCGTTTACGCCCCCACCGCGGAGTAAAGAGAGGCCAGGCCGTCGTGCTGCGCTTCCACGATAGTCCGCGTTGCTCCTCGAGTTCTTGGTCCTTGTGGAATCTCGCGTTTCCCGGAAACGACTGTGTCTTGGGTAGCTTTGGAGGTTCACGTTGATAAGAAATAAATTCAAGACGGATTTTTGGCAAATTTACTTGCAGCACGCGTGTTTTGGTTCGACAGGTTACAACGGGGGTGAGTGTCAACGCGGTGTATTTAAATACATAGAGATGTGGATTGGCAGAATATACGGATGCTAGATTGTACAATATATTTATTCGAGGTAAAACGAAATTCAAAGTAAAGTACTTTTACGATTAATAAAAATTGCATTCACTCCTTTTACACTGCTGTTCTCTTCTATTGTATGGCTGTACTACTGCACAGTAGTCTTCCACTGTTCTTCTATATCACTGCTCGACTCTATAATTGTTCTTGCTTCTTGGTTCAGTTGCTTTCTATTCGTTCATGGATACTATATATTTCTACAACACGTTCCGAAAATTTCACGTACATTTTGGGAACTCATTCGCTTTTTTCGCATAATTATCCGCTCCATCCTTTCGCCATTCGCACCGATAATTGTTCAATCTATGAATCAGAGTCAATATCGTATCGGAAAAAATACTTTTATTACTCCTTCTTCAATATTCGAATTTCACAGTAGACGACGCGATTATTATATTTCGGCGAGTAGAACTGAAATTCTTATAGTAGAATACGAAAATAGGATTGGAAGTGTTTTTAAAATAATTTAAGGGACTTAATTTAGGTTAGTAAGCAGATTATTATTAATTTGAGGGAAGATATTTGTTCAGATTTTCTGTAAAATCATTGTTCGTGACAGGTGTCTCTCTTAGAAGAGAGACCTCGCGCATAATGGAAATAGGAATGTAGTAAACAGATATTTCCTCCCCCTTTAATAGGTACCGTTTCGAGCACCTTCTACGAAATTCATAGTTGTTGGATGACGTTACCGATATCTGCATTTAGGATCAAGGTAAGAGAACTTGCTCGACGCGTTGGCACATTGATTTTCTCGAAGGAAATCGTAGGTTATAACGCGATAATCGACACGGTTCTGGCGCCGCACGTGAACGCCGCCGAAGCGGGCGGCCAAACAAGGCCGAGCAATTATGAACAAGGAGCATGACCAGGATAAACAAATTACACGCGAACGGTTTCTCGGTGGTGATTAGAGGTAAATCTTGTTAGGCAAGTTTCTGGCTAAGTTTCGCCTCGAAACAACTGCGCCCCGGAATAACGCGTGAAATTATCGTTACACGCGTTTTCTTCTTTTATTCCATCCTCGTGGACGACGAATTTCAAACATTCCCGTCGATTTGACTCGCGAGGTAAATCTTGTTAACATCGTGGAGATAAATTTGAAATACTTTGCGACGGAATTGTGAATCTACCTGTAATTTTCTAACGAAGAAATGGTCGAAGAAGAATCGAAAATTGTCGAACACGTGATATTGGATCGAAACGAAAAGCTCGATGAAAGGATAAATGATCGGCGTAGGTTTCCATCGGTGTAACGTTCTCGTGGGACCAAAGGGCGAAATCAGCTTCGACGTGGAAATGGAGGAAGCAAACGAACCGAGGAGGGACCAATCGTTTTCTTCGGGCTACGTTCTATCATTATTGGGCCGCTTCAGTCTGCTCGAAAGCCTTCATTTACTTCTATTATTTGAAATAAACAGATTTGGTTCGCATCAACTTCCCTTCAGGCGAAAACCACGTACGCCTTTCTTTAGCCTGTCCTCCATTTCCTGCAACTTTACCGTGCTTTCGCGTATTCCTTTTCTTATTCGTACTTTTGCAATATGGAGGCTTAAAAATATTAATTTAATTTCTCAAAAATTTTCCAAGCAACGAAAGGTTCCTATAGTACCTCCAACCCCTCAGAAAAGAAAATGGAAATAATATTAATATAGGAATCGAAGTGCATTTCACGGTTCTTCATAATCACGACGGGACTGAAATCAGTGAGATCAGAGCTGCAGCAGCCCGTTTGTCCTCGCAGTGGCCTTTTTCGGTTCATGCCAGGCAGAGATAGTTTTTGCGGGCAAATGGAAGCCGATTTCTGCGCGTTTCTGCAATTAGAACGGCAGTAAGCATCAAAGGCGACCCGCGTGGAAGACGCGAAATTTCATCGGAAGCCATGCGACGACTACGAGAGAAATACACGCGAGAGTAGGAGCGAAGGGTGCAAGGGAGAGCCGAAGCTACGGAAGAGGAGAGAGGAAGAGAAAGAGAGTGGAAAGGCAGCAATGAGAGCTAGTCGGTCCGAGTTTGCGAGTTCCAAGCCAAGGGGATTGCCGTATATTAAAGTACTTTTCGACTCCCCTTTCCTTTCTACGCCAATCCGTAGCCCCGGACCCCCAAACCTGCTCCTACTTCTCTTTTCTCCACGTTCTTCCTCTCTCGTCAGTCTCGTTGCCATTCGAATCGCGAGTAATCGTAAGCCCTGACTAAGCCTCTTGCGTATTTTGCACGTGATGTTCCTGCCTCGTCCGCGATTCGCTCTGTAAGCCTTGCCGCCAGCCTGGCAATAACTGGTTAATCGCAGTTAATCATAGTTTCCTTCTTTACGGATAAACCGTCTATTCTTCTCTGATCTCTTTCATCCTGGGCGTCTCGTGTTCCGATCGTATGGGAATCAGATCTCGAGAAATTGTCACTAACCGAGAGGATTTTTTCATAGATGACTCCACCTACTTGGACCCCCAGGGGGTTGATACAGGATTTTTGAGACCACGTGAAGATGTTTATATTTTGAATTTATGAATTTATTTTGGTATTTAAATAGGAATACAATTATAGGGATATATAGGGAAAATCTGGGTTTAAGAATTTTAGGAGGATATGATAATTCTGTGTTGGGAGAATTCGAATTTTGTAAAAATTATTTTGCAGTTGCAAATTTGAGATTCTTTGGGAGATTGGAATTTTTTGGAGAAAAAGTAGTAAAAATTTCCCAAACGCACGAATCGCCGATCCGTGAAGGTAGGAAACATTGGAGGGGGGTTCCTTTTGGTGCCATTAGTCATTAGCGATTCTAAAAGCACCCAGGGTGGAATATTACAGCAGTAGCCACGGCGGCTTTTACCATACTTTAGCTTTATGCGAGGCTCATTCATCAAAAGCCAACGAGTCCAATGGCTCCATGGGTGTACGTTGCTTAGCAATGGGTCCTACATCGCAGCAGGCTGTTTATGGTCCTCCGATATTAGATACTTTAGAAACAGACGATTTTTCTCTAGACTCGTTCATAGTCTCCAACGTTTTATTATACTTGCATTAAGCTCGCGAGAAATTATTACTCGTTATTAAATTTTCAACAAATAATAAATTTCAACCCTTTGAGCTCGACGATTTTTCGGCTGAAGAAGAATACGAGTTGAGAAATTTTCTGCTATAAGGCCGATGATATTTTTTGAGCAGTAAGTAAGAAATCGTTTAATAATTAACACGTAGAATTATTTAATTTCGATATCTCTCGTACTGTTACATTATTTCAAATTTGATATATTAACCCTTTCGACTCGAAGATTTCTTCGTTGTGAAGATGAAATTCGAAGCTCTTAGATTTTTATAAGCTCATTGGTACTCTTTATGCTAAAATTAAACAAAGAAAATCGTGAATTTGCGTGAGAAAGGAACGAATAGAATAATTTTATTTGGATGTTCTTAATATAATTATCATTATCCATTATTGAAGTTATAGCATTGAAACAAACGTTGACTGAGAGTCACCTCTCGAGTGCAAAGGGTTAATTAATATTGAGCTTCGAAATTTTATCAAATGGCGACTGAAGCACGCCTCTCGAGTGCAAAGGGTTAAGTTTAATAATTATATTTTATTGCTAACAACTGTATTTAAAGAGTCAAATTCAACAGCTCAACCGTGATTGACACACCTTGGCTTAAAGTTGCCTAATTTAAAAACAAATCGTCAAAAGAAATAGGCAGTTTAATTTCCAATTTAAAGATCGTTTTATTTCATACTTGTTCTTCATCGGGACTAGGATTTCAACGATCACTTGATTCCTCTGCCAAGAATCTAAACCCCCTAATTTATTTTCACTCGTCTCCAATGGTCATCCCAATTTCACCGCGTGGTTTCTCGATATCGAGTATCGTCCTCGACGATGCGCACCCGAGCATTGATCTAGGCGAGCTGGTGGAGACGAAGAAAAGGTGAGAAGCTGTCAAGGCTGTCACGCGTGCAATGGACCATACAGTCGGCCCATTATCGGCGAGGGGCTCTGTGGAGAAATAATAAAAATGCCATTAGTGTCTCGACGTCCCAGGACGGTCGAACGATGTGAACGTTCACCCCACAGATTTCGACCGATATATATCTCTCATCCCCTTCGACCACTTTAACGTCTTTGTCACGGACTCTCCCGCTTGACGAGGTTAATCCTTCTTTCTGGCCTTCAGCCTTTCTCCGGCTCCTCGGTTTTCCTCCTTGGTCCACTAGCTGGGGCCGGACGATCTTAAAATCCGTTCACGAGCTGGAACGAAAATAATTGCATCGTGATTCTTCCGCTTTTTCCTCCAACCCTTCATCCCCTTCTTCCCCAACCACCCTTTCTTCCTGCCCTCCTTCATCCTTCTCGCGCTCGTTATTTCGATCACGGCCGTATCTCAGCGTCCTCCTCTCCTCGTGTCTTCCTTTCTCTAACTACGAGCGAGAGGGCATAAATCCTTCGGGATCGTCGCCGAAAAATAAGATAAAATCTCAGCCAGGCAGAGGAAGGAAAAAAGGCAAATTCCCGAATAAACACATCCGCGCCTCTTTATGGTGCCACTTTGCCGAGCCACCCCCGTGCCCGTGGCCTGTGTACCGTGCGCATTATTAACTCAACCACCGGAAAATGTCAACGCGGCGGGCTCCTTATCTCCTCGCTTTTCTTTATTTTACCACCAAACCCGCTTCCCTCCGCGGCATCCTTGCCTTGCCCCCTTCTGGCACGGGCCACGCGATTTTTATCTGCCAGCGAGTGCTGTTTCATTCATCGCTGGATCTGCCTAGCGATTCTCTCGGATCACAGAAGATTCTCTTCTTTCTCCAATGGAAGGGATAACCGATTACCCGCGAGGATAATCTTTACGAATATCGTGTGATATCTCTATTATTCAGAAACGACGGCATAAATACGCTTCGTTTGAAGATATTCGCGACTCTGGTTCCTCTTACGCAGGCACGTAAAAATGAAGTTCTCCTCGAGGAGTTTTACCCGATACTCTCGTCGACAGAAGCATCGAATGCCTTCTATCGCTCCTGAGAGCGTTTCCGTTTCCTCTGAGGATCCGGCAGCGAAGGAACGCCTCTGGGATCGGGTTTCCAAACGTTTTAATCGGCGTTTTTCTTTTGCCTGGCCCCGATTTCGCGATTCCCTCGTCCCCGGCGAGAGGAGAGGAGAGAGAGTCCTCTTGCAGAAAGGAGTTATCGCCGAAGGAAGCTACAGGCATCGGCGTGCTGCCGTGAAAAGGGGCTGGGGACGGTCGGCGGGGTTAAAACGACCCCCGCAGCCGAGGCTGAAGTCTGAAAGATAAGGTACCCCTCTTCTCTCTCTCGGCCTCCTAGATTATGGAATGGCACTTTAATTACACTAATGGGAGAACCAAATGTTAATTACAATTCGAAGTCTAAAAGAGAGACGATTCGCGGACTGCGAAGGAGAGAGTGAGATAGCTGGCCGGGAGGGGTGCGGCAAGGGGTGAGAGATAGGCGAGTGGACGGAGAAGGGACCAGATGAGATTTGCCTGCGTAAGAGGGTTCCCGTGATTAGTATTATTTAATTAAAAATGCCCGGTCTCATTATGGTCACCTCTAGTAAGGACCAGCTTAGCTGCGTGGGAAGCTGCTTATAAATTGGATTATCGGAACGCCGGAGATGGCGAGGAAGAATAAAGTCTCGCGATAAATCGTTCTGCGTACTGAATATACATGGTAAATATGGTATAGTAATTATTCTAAACAATCGTTCGTAATAACATAACGCTCCTGTAATCGGTATTCACCGTAGAATTTAATCTAGGTACATTGAGATTTCGTGAAAGGAATCCGTTTGAACCGTCCGAGATAAATAATTGAGATATTCGTGCTAAGAAATGTAAAATACTCTTCGAGTCTTCTCGAATATCCATAAGACTGAAGATACATCCCGAAACTATTACAATACCTAAGTGCTGTGGCCAACTTCGACGCAAAGTCAGTAGTCGAACCATGAACGAACTCTATTCGACGTGGAATTTAGAGAAGACAGTGGGAGCTAGGGAAAAACCTGTAACCAGTATCCACCGTAGAATATAATCTAGGTAAATTAAAATTTCGCGTGAGGAACTGTGGAACGATCGGATACCTTCTGAACGACAGACCAAATTTGTTTGAACAGCCCAAGATAAATTATAGAGATATTCGTATTCAAAAATATAAAATACTCTTTTGGATTTCTCGAACACCCATGAGATTGAAGATACATCACGAGGGTGGTATAATGCATAAGTGCAGTGGTAAACATCGACGCAAAGTTAAAAGCCAGTTCCCTAGTCAATAGCCGAACTATAAACTTTATTCGACGTGGAATTTAGAGAAGACAATCGGAGGGAGGGAATAATTGCACTTGGACTATCAACGCAAAGTCAGTAGTCGAACCATAAACTCTATCCGACGTGGAATTTAGAGAAGACAATCGGAGAGAGGGAATAATTGCACTTGGACTATCAACGCAAAGTCAGTAGTCGAACCATAAACTCTATCCGACGTGGAATTTAGAGTAGACAATCGGAGGAAGGGAATAATTGCACTTGGGCTATCAACGCAACGTCGGTAGTCAGTTCTCTAGTCAGTAGTCGAGCCATAAACTCTGTCCGACGTGGAATTTGGAGAAGACAATCGGAGGGCGGAAAAAATTGGTGACCGAGAGAGCGCTGTCGATAGCAGATCGATAGGAAGGTTGGGAAGGATATCAGACATTTTGGAAATCTCGTTTCCTGTGCCGATGGTGGAGGCGACGGCGTCGTAAGCGGAACGACGAGGAGCACGCGGCCGACGACTACGAGGACGGCCACGACGATGGGCTATCGACGCCGGGGTGGAGTCGAAGCGGCAGCCGGGTTTCAATTTAAAGTTGGACGAGCGTGTCGGGATTTCAATGTACAAAATGCGTATGCTAAACTTTTCGCACCCCTGTGGTAGCCGCCGCCCCTCCGTCCGTCTTCGAGTTCCCAAACACCCTTGACGCCTGAGCCGAACGCCGGACAGCGTCCGTGTCGACGTTTCGTCCGGGAAAAATCAGCAAGTCTGATGCATCGTCAAGTTGGAAAGGGTGCGCAAGTAGAACGTCGCTCCCGCTGGACACGTTGGTGCTCGCGGGACGAATGTCCCGTCGAACACTTTGAAGTCGCTGCCCCCAAAGGACAAATTACTTTTTTGAAGCCGTCACACGGAGGCCTTAACGCCATCGGCTCGGTCTGAGGACCCTAATGATCGAAGGTGACGCATATCGATGGGTAGGCTGGAAACAACCGTGTGAAGGAACTTTCTAATGTCTCTCTCACCTCGTCGCCAACTTTCCTCGCCTCTTGTCGTACGCACGAGCGTGAAAGCCATTTGCATCCGATCCTTGGTACCGGCTTTGTCTCTCTCGCGATTTACACTGTCAGGGATGATGCCTGGTGTTCGTTGCATCGTTAACTAGACGCTGGGAGGTGTGACTTCTTATACCTGGATTCAAAATTCGTTTCCCTTTTCGTCGGGTACGAACCTTCCTAACCGTCTCTGAGAGATCCACGGATCCTAATCATGGTCTTCCTCTTGTATTCGACCGATGGCATGGTTTCGACGCGAATCTAACTTCGACAATGCGTTCAGATGGAACGTCGCGCCGCGTACGATTGCCGTGAGACGAAAGACGAGAAGGACGGACGCGAAAAGGGAGGAAAAAATAGGAAAGCAACGGAACGAGGATGCTCTGGCGGCCAAGCGATCGCGGATGGCGAGAAGTTTCGCCCCAGGAGTTGGATTACCGCGTGGCTTCGGTCGGATTTGAAAATCGTGGGGTCTCGACGGCTGCCGGGCGAGGCTGGCGCGTGATTGATTTTGCATACGACACGGATTGGACAGGTTTGAGAAATTGGACTGGCTTTCTGGCTGGTTTGGCCTCTCTGCCCTCCTTGGCTTCTCCCTTACCGAACCCCTGCCACGTTCTTTTCTATATCGCGGAGTGTCTATATGCCTGGACGGTTATATCCACGCGTACACCAGCTCGCGTGTACGTCGATGTAACTGTATATGCTTAGCGGATCCAGCAGTGTCTACCCGCGAGAGACGGGGAAGGGTTCCCTCTCGTATCTCTGGCGGGAAACGTCGAAGGGGATTGGCCTCGAACGAGCGATTTGTGCGATCTTCGAGGACGTATTTATGAGCGTTCCAGGCCCGCTTCTTCCACTTTCATATCGGCCAGTCTGACGTAACTTACGGCGTGCAAAATGGAAACGCGACGCCCAACACGAGTCGTGATCCTGCCTTCGAGAGGCTGGATAGCAAATTGGATGACGAGTTTAAAATCGTCGACTCGAACTGCGGGTCCAAGCGAATAATTGGAATTTGGAAGGAGCGCGTAATCTGAAAGAAAAAGCAAATATCGGGAAACTTTCTCCGTTGGTAGACTTCCAATCGACGACTTCCCAGAACTTTCGTTTATTAATCTTCGTCAAATTCCTTGTTCGAGGATGACAGTACTCTGAATAAATAAAAATGGGAAGAAAATTACACAATATTTGTTGCAACCCCAGTACTATATTTTGATTCTTAATTTAATACCAAAGCTACTATACCTAACTAAAATAATTTTTTGTGTATATTGCAACTATTATAGCAATCTTTGAAACGTGTGACAGAAGAAGATACAGCTATTAACACTAAATGAGCAGTTCCAAATTTTCATTATAAATTCCGCACTCAACGTTACTGCTTTGATTATTTGTTTCGACGACTTTTCATTTTCAATTAATTTTTCATTTTCCTTTTCGCATTTTTTTCTTTTTAAGGATCTTCTTTTATTTTTTTATCCACCGGTTATTTTACTGGTCGTGGTAGGTTTCGTATTAAAAAATTGATCCTGTTATGAGGACATATGCTATATAGGCTTACTGTCTTGTATTTCATATAATATTAAATAGTCTCCTATTTTATATTACCAAAAGAAAATCGCGAAGCAAATTGCAGAAAGCAAATATCATCGATTTCAGTCCTCGCACTTTAACCTAGGATCAACCTCGTGTCCTTTGACGACAGAGCCGCAACTTTGTCGAGGACTGAATCAGGAAACTTGAAAAATTACTTAATCCAGCGCGTAAACGGAACACGGAGGACCCGCGATGACGCAGACACAAAGAGGATCGCGTAAGAAGAAGCTGTCGAGGCATTCAGGCTAGCTCGTCTGGCGTTATCTGCCGACGTCGGAGTGGATAACAGGCCGAACGATTTATTCTAAACCTTTATCCGGCAGCCCCTCGAAATTTATGAAAGAAGACGCCCGTTTAACCGACTCGCTCAGTCATCCCTCACGATGGTGGTGAAGCCACCCTTCCCTTCGACTGTCTCCGTTCTTCTTTCACCTCGCGCCTCCCTTTCCGTCCTTCCTTCTCCGCTGCTCCATTCTCTACCCCGTACTCGCATGTCAGCCCTTTATTTTATACCAAGACGAGTCGGTCCGAGTCGGTCCTAATATTAAAGGGGATGGTTCACCCTTAGCGCGTGATCGGGGTACCGAAATCCGCCGATCGGACCACGGTTCGGGACTTCCTCATTGGAGGACGGAGCAGGGAAGTCGAGTGGCAGGCTCCTGCGAGGAAGGCTTCAGAGGATCGAGCCTTTCAATCTTTCTCGAGTTCCACGATACGTAGATCGGCCTTGGATCCTTGCTCGATTATTGGCTGTACGTAACTCGCAAGTATGCAGGATCGGGTACTCAACGAATTCTAAAAGCTTCCTTTGATCGTAACTGACTTTTAGAGAATCGAATGAATTTATAATGATCAGTAAAAGATTCCCGAATATTATCCCAAAATACCACGTTTTGTCTGAACTCGCTAATGTAATTAATAATAATTAAATCTGGATGAAGGAAATTTTACATAAAGTCGAAACCGTGTTAGGATTTAATGGGATTTGTCCCAAATCCTGTTTCAATCGTGGAATATGCTAAATTTTACAATAAAAATTTTGTAGAACATCTACGAAAGTGGAAGTAGAGAAATGAACAGAAAATAACGTTTCGCTTCTGTGTTTTCCAGTTATACCTGAGCAAAACCCGACAGTGCAGCCTCACGGACAATTTGCATCAGGGTCTCTCACGAACGGTCAGTCCAACAGCGCGCCAGCAAGGTAAGTCTTTTCGACTTTTCCTTTTTCCGTACTTTCTCGTGCCACGCTTTTCCCTCGCGAATTTCTTCGGCGTCGTCGACTGCGAAACGCCTCGGAATTTCCGTCCATGCTCGAAAATATCCCGTCCCCTGCCGCGGCCTCGTTTTCTTCCTGTTTTCTCGTTTCCCTCGGATTCGTTGGAAACTTTCGACACCCACGGCCACCCACACGTCTGCACGCGAGGGCGCCTGTGCACGCGCGGGCGCCTGTGCACGCGCACACATGGAACGGCGTCGTTTAGCGTCCTAACGACGAGATACTCGCCTCGTGCGTATATCGAAACTGGCGAAGTCCTGTGTCGAAACACAAGCGACATTTCGAAACTTTGGCCAATTTCGCGTGTACTCGGTTAGAATAAATATGTGATCCACGTGTGTCGGCGTATCTATGTTCAATATGTGCCAGTCGCTTAGAAATTATGCCTTGACTGTACCAATATATTCGATCAGCCATTTAGAGATCCGATATTATTATTGTTTTATCTAATTATATTCGGGATGCGAGACTTCGACAAAAATTAGATCCAAGGGTTGCAGTAGAACTCTAGAACACTAGGTCAGACACCAAAATTTTTATTTCCGTATCGGTATAATTGCACGTGTTGCTTGCCTGACCATTTGACTACGGTAGACTTTGATACGTAGTGGCCATAACATACGGCAGCAATTGAGTTACGATGTGCGCCATTTTTGTGGAAACAAGCGCCCTCCGTGTCAGAAAGCTAAACTACGCGAGCGCCCATAGGCGCCCTCCATGTCACAAACGCAAAATTTCTGAGCGCCTATAGACGTGCTAAGTGTCACAAACGCAAAATTTCTAAGCGCCCAAAGGCACCCTCTATGTCACAAACGCAACATTTCTAAGCGCCCAAAGGCACCCTCTGTGTCACAAACGCATTTCTAAGCGCCCAAAGGCACCCTCTGTGTCACAAACGCAAAATTTCTAAGCGTCTATAGACATCCCCTGTGTCACAAACGCAAAATTTCTGAGCGCCTATAGACGTGCTAAGTGTCACAAACGCAAAATTTCTAAGCGCCCAAAGGCACCCTCTGTGTCACAAACGCAACATTTCTAAGCGCCCAAAGGCACCCTCTGTGTCACAAACGCATTTCTAAGCGCCCAAAGGCACCCTCTGTGTCACAAACGCAAAATTTCTAAGCGTCTATAGACATCCCCTGTGTCACAAACGCAAAATTTCTGAGCGCCTATAGACGTGCTAAGTGTCACAAACGCAAAATTTCTAAGCGCCCAAAGGCACCCTCTGTGTCACAAACGCAACATTTCTAAGCGCCTATAGGCACCCTCCGTGTCACAAACGCGCAACATTTCTAAGCGCCTATAGACGTGCTATGTGTCACAAACGCAAAATTTCTAAGCGCCTATAGACACCCTCCGTGTCACAAACGCAAAATTTTTAAGCGCCTATAGGCGCCCACAGTAGCCAAGGGGTTAAGTACGTACATACAAAATTTTTAAGCATCCCCTACCAATCATTGTTAGCAGTTGCAATTACGATTAGAATCGAAGGAAATCCGTCGCGAAAGAAGGGAATACGTGGAAGAAAACGTTGGTCAACTAGTTTCACGATTTCCATCGTACACTGGCAAGGATTTTCACGAGCTGTTACAGTAGAACTCTCGAACACTAGGCCAGACCCCAAAATTTTTATTTCCATATCGGTATAATTGCACGTGTTGCGTGCTTAAGTACCTAAGTACAAAATTTCCAAGCATCCCCTAACATCAAATTGTTAGCGGATGCTATTACGATCGGAATCGAAGGAAATCCGTGACGAAAGAAGGGAATAATATCCTGTTCGAAGTGGGCATCGCGGGTGTATGCGTGGAATACGAAATACGTGCCGTCCACATGAGAACGACGTCCCGCTCCTCCTCGCGTAACCGTAGATCGCCGCGAGGGTGGAAGCGATTTCTCTTGATGACAGTGATTACTTTAATCGACCTTTCCATTCCTCGTCGTGGATCTTCGCTGGAAAATAGTTATGGTCGACGCGACGAAGACCACGAGCAGCAGCGCTCCGAACGATTACGCGCCCCCGTTCGATGCTTCTGCGAGAACTTCGACGCCATTGTAGATATAGATATTTCGATATCGACAGATCTAGCTTGGGTCGAATAGAAAGCTTTTTTACTAACACACGCGTCTATTATTCTGGGTTTTGCTAAACGGGTTTCAAGAATATCGATACTCGTCAGTTACATAAATCAAGATTATTTGTATCCTGTCAATTTTGAGTCATTTGGTCCACTCGTGGACACACCTACAGCGAAACTCGAAATATAATATATTTAGATAGAACACTTGTCATTTTCTTTACTTTAGGAGACTTCGAGACACCGTAAGAATATTTTCAGATTTTTCTATTAGCTGATCTTGACCGGGAAACGTACAGGAGAGGGATGATTCTGATATCCAGAAAGAAGGTTACGAAATAAGGGTGAATTTTGGTAATAGTTGGAGAGGCAATTTCTTCGCTCTCTCTACAAAATTACCTCGTCGAACAACATTCTACGCGATACCACCATGTAATAGCGCCAGGTGGAATCGCGTCGTGGCCGAAACGCGTGGACCAAACGGAACGAAACGCAAGACTCGTTAGAGGGAAACGTGGAATCGATCTCTCGCGGATTCGAGACGCTCGACGAAAATTCATTCGGGAGATTCGAGTTCGAAAATTAATTTCAATCCGTACTTGAGCCCCCGGCTCTCGCCCCCCGCCTCTCTTTCGCTTCGTCTCCTCTCCGGCTGGTCAAACAGCGGCGTGTACAGCGCGGTTGGAAAATCGAGCAGCGCTCGAGTACTGGAAACAAAAGGCCGACGTTTCAATTAGGTCCCTTATTAGTTAGCGATAATAGGGCCAGCGGCGGTCGAACGGTAAGGCCGGGGCTTTCCAGTGCTTAACCGTTGGCTGCGTTAGGTCCGCCGGCTTGTTTGCGTGGATCCAGCTCTTACGATATTAAGGGCTGACTAGGCATTCACCGGTACCGCATCCACGTCCAGCCATCCACGGCCCCACTCTTCTTCGTTTCGATGTTTAGAGCCATCCTCCAACCTATGGCTCTGCTCCACCCGTTTGACTTGACCAGACTAGGAGGGACAGCGAGGGATCCTTGCACCTCCTGGCTGGACCTCTCGCTGGGTCGATTGATTTTCTCGCGTTAGAACGTTGGAAGGATGGAAAGCCGTGATAACGGGGTTTGTTTGATGGAATAGATCGAATTCGTACCTCGTGGGGGAATTTCGCACAAGGAATCCGTTGTCTAGATGTTAGCGAGGTGTTCGCAGACTCGGGACAGGACAATTCGGGTTAGTAATTGGGAAATTATACTTTGAACCCGGCTTCTCCGTTGTACTCGACAAGTTCTTCTAAAAATTCAGCTTATAAACCTTAACATGGAGTCGCATATAGATATTCGATATTGCGAGATGGTCTTCTAACGTTTCACCAATAGTTCACACGAATAGCTTCTAATAGAATCACGAGCCAGAAGCTCAGGATATAAAAATAATTACGAAGGAACGAAAAGAGTCGCGAAGTTAAATAATTCCAAATTTTTAGTTATTTATTAACATTGATATAAACATCCATATACACAATAGCAACGCGAGAGGCAGCACTGTGTCATCGTTTCTCTGAGTAACGTTAGAGTTGCACCATCTATGTTCCCACGCACATTTTTCATAGTTCAATCAGGCCACCATAGTTCTTCAGGAAGAAAAAATATTTCATTATTTACATACGTTGTTCAGATTTTCAAGAAGCCATCAAGTGTCCGTCACTGATGCCTACCGTGGCGGTCAACGTGTTAACAGGATGACTCCCTATCCCTTCCATCCCCTTATTACGACCCTAAATCACCTGTCAACTCTTCC